TCCGTCCGACGACGACGCGGAGAAGAAGAGGAGGAGGAGGAGGAGGAGGAGGAGGAGGAGGAGTAGTACGTAGTGTGTGTGTGTGTGTGTGTGTGTGTGTGTGTGTGTGTGTGTGTGTGTATGTGTGTGTGTGTGGCCCCCGGGTGAGGATGCTGAGTTCCTGTCTCTGAGTATGGAATCTCTGGGCCAGAGGGGCTCACTCCCAGGGGTCTGGGGGAGAAGGGCGGTGAGGGTCTTTCACAGGGACCTGTAGAGGCCAGCCCTGGGGATAAGGTTGGCCAGGAAACCCTTGTCCCAAAGGCATGCTGCTCCTGGAGGATCCAGGAAAGGGCAGGCTGCTAGCCATCTACTGTCTACTTTTTCTACCTACAGAAAAGAGCTCATATGTAAGCAGGCAGCTCGTGAATTATCACAAAGTGAACCCACCCGTGGAACCAGCACCCAGACCAAGAAATACCGTGCGATCAGCGCTCCAGAAGCCCCCTCCTGGTCACTACCCTTCCCAAAGGCAGCCTGTCCCAACCAGATTTATGAACACTATTCTCTTTTCCAAGCACGAGGTTCTGCCTCGGAGGACCCCGTCTGACTGGCATCTCCTGGGGGGCCCCTGCCTAGAAAGGCCGAGCTCTGGGGGAATGGGGAGGGGGAGCCGAGAGCTGTGTCCCCCCACCTCCACCCTACTCGCCCAGGCGGTGCCCTGAAGTTCATGTAAGAGGCAGCAGTCTCCTCCTCCAGCCCCTGAGCTAACCCAGGGGCCCAGGCCCTGCCCCCACCTCCCCTGCAAGGCCTCCCCTGAGCTTTATTAGTTAAGCTTCCCAGCAGCAGCGGGAGGCCTCTCTTACAAAAACACTCGCAGAAGCCACATAAACAGGCCAGGCTAATGGGGCCTCAAGGACCCTCTCCTCAGCCAGCACTGTGCCCAGGGGCCTCACTCCTGCCTAATCACCTCCCCACACCAGGCTTCCCTAGGGATGGGTGGGGAGGGTGCTGGTGGCAGCGGTGGTGGGCAGGGCCCAGTGGGAATCCTTGGGGACGTGGCCAAGGGGCAAGGTGCACGTGACCCAGCCCTTCTCACCTGCACATGATCTCGTGGGTGAGCAGCACTCGGCACATTTCGGGGTTCTTGTCCTGTCCCTCATAGATGATGGCCTGGGGGAGGGGAAGGATGCAGACTGTGGGACGGAGGCTCCTCTCCAGACTGGGTACTGGGAGACAGGCCCTGCCCCCAGGGAGGATGACACCCTACAACTCTCTCTGGGGGCCTGCAGGGCAAAGTGGGAGCTGGGAGCCTGGCTCCCCACACCGGGACCCCCTCCCCCAAGAATGGGCAAGAGTGGCGTGAGGTCTACAGATCCTGTCTGTCCACAGGCAGCTCTTTCCGGAGCCAGTTCTGCCCCAGGGGCCAGGGAGGTCCCCAGATGACCTCGACCAAAGTCAGCTGCGGGGGGGGGGGGCGGCAGGTGGACACACCCTCAGCCCCGCTGTTCTCACAAGCACTGTCCCTCTGGGCTGCCCCACCAGCTCCTCAGCCTCTCTCCCCATCCCTATCACCTCTCCAGGCCAGGCCGGAGTCTGCCTCTTGGACTGTTGGATCAGCCTCCCACCAGTCTCCCAGCCTCTCCTCAGCCCTGAAGCAGGAAGTGAGCTTCCCAACCTGCGAATCTGGCTTCCCACTTTATAACCTCTGGGCCTCCCAGCCATCCCTCCTTTGTGGGATCCCCCTCTCTCTGGACATCCCCCAAGCCCTTCCACACCCGACCCCCATGCCATCCCACTTTGCTACTGCCTGGTCTGCCTCCTGCACCATGGCGACCACGGGCTTTCTAGAAAAACACCATTTCTCTCTCTGCCTTGGGGTTGGGTGGGGGCTGCCAGGAGACGTCTGCGGGGGAAAGTCCAAGTCTCTACCTTGCATTGCAGGCCCCTGGTTTTCCCACCTGAGACTCAGCTCCGCTCCTTACCAGCAGGCACAACTTCTCTGAAAAGCCCGAGGCTAGGGGCTCTGCCCCTGCACAATCCCTCAGGGCTTCAGCTGCCCTGGGGGTGCTGAGGGTCTGCCGTAGAAGCTCTGGGGTCCCACCCAGTTCCCTTGACTGGGCCAGCGCACCCATTCCCTAGCTGTCGGTAGTGTTAGCTCTCAGCAGATAGGAGCTGCTTCACCTGAAAATGTCTGGAAGGTTACACTGTACTTTTGGGAGTGGTCCCCAGCCAGTGACTGGGACAGGGGACAGAATCCTGGCCTCTTTGCCTCAAGGGGAAACACCTCTGGTGCTATTCCTTCTCCAGGGCTCCCTGTGGATCTAGCTGAGATCACATCCTTGCTGAGTATCCCCTGCTCTGTCCTGCTTTCCTCCTTCCCCTTCTGAGACCTTCTCCCCTTCTCAATAAATCACGTGCACCTGGATCCCCATCTAAGCTGGACTTCTAGACAACAGGACCTGAGACAAAGCCTGTACAAATATTGCCTTCTTCTAGTCCACAGGGCAAATGCCACACCTCCTCCTGCAGGCTGTGGTGAGAACTGGGGGAGCTAGTCTGGTGGGGATGAGGGGCATGGAAGGGTTGAAGGCAGGGCCAAGCATGCTTGCTCAGACCACATGGGAGATGGAGGTCAGAGAAGGGGCTGGACAGGCCTGAGCATCCCCTGGGCCGCCTCACCTGCTTGGACATGGAGTCGATGAGACGCACATACAGGTCCTGTTCTGTCCGAAGTCCTAAGGTGGGAAGGCGGAGAGGGCTTGCTGTATGGGGAGTCCCTGTGGCTTCTGATAACTGAACACACTCCACATCCTCCCCAGATGGAGCCAGGCGCCCTGCACCCTGTCAGCGGGGTGTCAAATGGTGCTGTGGCAGTGGGCAGTGGGCAGTGGGCCTCACTCACCGTTGTTGTACACCAGCCGGAGGCGATAATGGATCCCGTTGTTAGTCTTTTCAGCCCCAGGCTCCTGTGGGGACAAGGTGGGGAGGATGCTCGGTGCTCCCAGGGATCCTCCAGCCACCTCCATCAACCTTCCTCCCTCCCTCCATCTGTTCACTACCCCTTCTCTGCTCCTCCACCACGGATCCATCGTCTACCCCAGCGGGAGGGGATCCCTGAAGCCCTCCCCACCCCCGCCCTGTTCCTTCCCAGCCAGCCCACGAGCCCACGAGCCTCTCACTCGGTCCTTCTCCACGAAGTCGATGAAGGCTGTGCGCTCCACCTCCACCGGCTGCCCCTGCCGGTCATACATGGCCAGCACGAAGTGGAAGAAGTTGGATTTCCTGAGGTTGGAGGGAGGCTGCTTCTCAAAATGTGCTCGTGCCAGGCCCACGCCACTGTGGGAGGAGAGTTGCTGGGAAACCACTGGCAGTGCCCTCCTGGGAGAAAGACCCCATTGCCTCTGTCCCGGGGTGTGGGCTGGCTGGGACTGGGCTCTGATGTGTCTAGAGTTTGGGCAAGAAATTGGACGGGCCCATTCCACCCTTGCCAGGGCCATCTCAGCTCCAGAGGCCTCCCAGCCCTGAGGTCACTCAGGCCCGCTCCAGTGGGAACGAACAGCACAGCATGTGGCAACAGAGGCATCTCTGCCAGGTCCTTCCCGGGCTCTTCCCCGGGCCTCGCATTTTGAAAGGCTGATCTCTAAGACCAGATGTACAAGCGACCCGTCTACTGACCAGAGGCTCCTGTAACTGCCCTTTGGGGCCTCAAGGGGCAGCTGGGAAGTTTGGGAACAGATATCCCACTGAACCCCAGCTCACAGCTGTGCTCTTGAGCCTGAGGCATTGCCTGGGAGATGACAAAGTCCGTCAGACTCTCAGAGACATCCAGCTGGCTCCGGGCCGCCAGTCTGCTCAACCTGGACCTTGGGTTATGGCTGAAGGTGGGGATGCCCACCCCAGGTGTAGGGACCTGCCTCTGTGCTTTGGGAAAGACAGCCACTGGCTCCCTTGGGCAGGAGGATCTTCTGGTGTGGCCTTGCCAGAAACCAGTCCCAGAAGCAAAGCCTGGATGAGAGCAAGAAGAGGAGAAGAACCAAGCCCTATTCATCAAGTATTCCCTGAACCCCAAAGATATACGAAGCACTGGTCACGTGGTACCACGTGGGGCTGGAGTGAAATGCTTGGAAGGGGCGGGAGGACAGATACAGAGAGCAGTAACACAAGACAGAGTGTTGGGTGCTCCCTGAAAGATGTTACTATATAAAAAATGATAAAAGCAAAGGAAGAAAAAAGTCATTCATTCTGTGAGAAGTGAAGGGAAGACTTCACGGAGATGATGGCTTTTCCCTTGGTCCTTGAGGGATGAACAGGAGCTCAACAGGAGTAGGAGGCAAAAGGGCAGAACAAACAGCATAAGAAATGGCTGTGGATGTGAGAGTTAGTGTCACTGGACCACAGATTTCAAAAAGTGAAGTGGGAGAGAGAAGGTTGACTAACATGCCATGGTTACTTGAGTACAGAGTACTTCTGTGGAGAGACATTGGGAAACAAGACTAAAGGCCAACAGAAGGCTCTGAAGCGAGGCAGGGCTTAGAAGATGCTGCAGGCAGGGAGGGCACAGTGTGGGAAAGTGAGAGGCTGCTGCAGGGATGCAGAGGCGAGATCGAGGATGTAACTGCCTTGAGAGCCATCTAGACCAGAGTCCCAGTGGGGACGTGTCACTGTGACCGTCTGCCATACGCATCACTACTTAATGTTTTTCTTCACATAATTTTAAGTCAACTAAATCTTACTGGGCTGCATACGAAGCCATAATATCTAAAATGTCACAGGCTGGAGAGGTTTGTGTTTTTAATTCATACAGATTGCAGTAAACACATACACAATGAAATGAACATTGTTCTTCCTCCTGAAAGTCTGCTTGGGAGCCTCAGTGGGCCATGTGAAATGCTGATTTTGGAGCCAAAAGTGATGAGTCTTGCTTGTCCCTGACGAAGATAAGGAGGAGGGGGCCATCAATACCCTCTCCTCCTCACCAGAGGTTCTCTCTACTCCCAGGTCATCCTACCCCCTCCTCTTCGTCCCTCAGTCCCTCCCTTCTCCTCCCCCTCAGGCTTACAGTCTTCTCAAGACCAGGCCTCAACCCTCCAGCTTTCCACTTGCCAAGAGGCAGGGAAGCCCTAAGAGGGCTTTGATCGCAGCAGGTCCCTGATTACTGTTGATGAATATGCTAATGAGGCAGCAAGCCTGACTCCTCCCTCCGGGCCCCCAGGACCAGCCTAGGGGGAGAGAGGCTCCCCAGGGACAGGCTTCAGGACCGCCTGGGGGTAGAGAAGGCCAGAAGGGGGTGGGCTGTGGGGCCATCCCAAATCACGCTGCCCTTTACTCAGTCATCTAGCCCAGGAAAGGTCTCTGGAAGGCTCAGAGAGTGGGGAGAGAGGGTATGGAGAGAGAAAGAGGCCTTAGAGGGGGGTGGACGCTGAGTAGTAACACAGTCCCCTGGACTGCTCAACACCCACTTTCTACACAGATGCTTCTGCTCTCCCCAGGCCAAGAGTAAACCCATGATGCTGGCCTGAGCTTCCTTTCCCATCCATCGCTCTTGGCAAATGTCACTCAGTCCTGGATCCTAGCTGCCTGCCAGCTCCTGCCAGGCTCCTAAGGACCAGATCTGGGAAGTCTGGCTTAAGCCCCAAGCCAAGCTCCCTGCACAAGGCCTGCCTGCCCTCTCCCAGGAGCAGATTCCCAGGAAGAGAGGTCGGGGGGGCCCAGGGAGGGGAAAGGGAGCAGGCACCCCTGCTGGGATCTGTGGACCAGTATCTAGGGCTGCTAGCTGCGGGGCACGGAGGGTGCACTGTGTCCTACCCAACAGTGGGAGCAGGCTCAGTCCCTCTTGCCCTGAGGCAGCCCAGCATCATCCTCCCTTCCCCACCTTGCCTAATGGATTCGAGGCACAGTACCCTCTGGGCTCACGCCCATCCATGCAAGGCAGTGGGACAGAGGTGGCTAGTTTACAGCTCTGGGACAGGATCACCGTCATGAACAACAGAACAACATAAGTAACAGCCCTGGCCCCTGCAGACCAGGAGAGGACTGCAGAATGGGCAAGATCCCTGCTGGGCACGCCCCGGATGACACCTGCTCTGTGAATGCCTCTGCTGACCCTGTTCCTACCCCTGAGGCACAAGTGAGAAGACCCAGGTGAAACAGGAAAAGTTTGGTTTAAAGACATCCTCGTATTTTCTACGAACACGAGACGGAGAATGACGTGAAGATTAACCCGGCAGCTACAGTGCCAGGCTTTGGTCTGGGCTGTGCCTTCCTTCTCCTGGTTCCCCCAGGTACCTCCACTGCATGTGTGTGAACGGAGCTGCAAGCCCCAGAGGAGAGGGTTGGGAGGGGAAAAGGGAGGCTTCTGCTCTTCTTCCCTTGGGAATAGCTGATGCTCTTGTAATGAGAAAACAAACCAAGATTAAAGACCAGAAAGAAACATAGATATGCTCAAAAAACTCAGAAGGTAGAGCCAGGGGCCATGGAGAGGTCTGAGAGGGGGCTGGGGCATCCTGGGAGCAGACTTGTGCTCCCATACTGGCTTAGAGACAGAGATGCGGATGAAGGCCGATGTCTCTGAGTCTGTGGTCTCCAAAGTGAGGTTCATAAGGCAACCACTGGGGTGTGGGGAGAAACTGCGAGGATGTCTATTGATAGGAATCCTTTGTCTAAAAGAGAGAAGGGAGGCAGGAGGAGAGCCCCGGTCTGCACAGGTTAGTGTTTAATCTGGGTTTCCTGGGAAGCAGACCCAGAGGCAGGGATTCAAATACATAAAGTTTGTGTGGGAGGTGATCCCAGGAAACTCTGGTGGGGATGGGGAGTGAGAGGGGAGGAAAGGAGTCCCTAATGGGTGCGTTAGCCCAGAGTTACCACTGTGGGCAGCTGCAGCTCTGGAAACAAGTCTAGAACGTGTGCTTCAGCTATCCCATCAGAGGGCTGGGGGAGGTCTTGGTCCACCAGCCCCAGTCAGTCATTGGCTGAGGGTTTCCAAGACGTCATTTCTTAGGTGCTTCTGATCTGGTGTGCAGGTGGGCAGAGCAGACTCTAGTGGTGTAAGAAAGTCTTAGGAGGCAGATGCTGGCAGGTGAAGCAGACCCTTTCCCAAAGGTCCCCAGGGGATGTGGGTTGGGTACCAACCACCAACTATCCAGAAGCCCGCTGTGTGTTGGAAGCCAGCAAAGCTACAGCCCAAGGGCCTGCGTGCAGCTTGGCAGATACGCATGAGAACTGCCTCACCTGGTACACGTATTGCTGGAGCATATAATTCAGAAATGTCTCATTCACTTAGCATGATTAGCGCACAAAGCGTGCCCCATATGCGCCTTTTCTAGATAAATGCAGCTGAGTGCTGAAAACAGCCACATTAACCACTTTTGTGAGACTCCAAAATGAACTACACATCTCCTTGCTTTCTTAAAAAGATTGTTTTCAACCAAAATGTTCAAAACACTTTCTCATCCACTCTGGAGGGTGTTGAGGTGGCGGGGCATTTGCTCCTGTACCGAAGAGCCCAGATGTGGGAGGAAAAAGTGCTCATTTTTGTATTTCTACCATGGCCCAATGACCCCTTCCCATCTTCTGTTCTGAAATAGCCCCCAAATTAAATGCAACCGTGACACAAAAGCTTTGCAGCTATTTTTTGGCTGCAGGACATCTGCTTCGTAGCAAGCATGGGAATGTGTGGGCTTCCTGGGTCCTGTGCTGGGAATCCAGGTGAAAGTCAACACCAAGGGCAACCTGACCTTCACAGCCTGAGCTGCTCAGGTGGCCTGTGCTCCAGAGCACAAGGGGATGCATGTGGGGTGCCGCGGTTATCTGGCTGCTATTGCTGGGACCGTCCAGGGGCCCTGGAGATACTCCTTTGCAAGGCTGAGCAGGATGTCCTGGACCCTTCTCAAGCACCTGCGGGATCTCGCCACAGCTGTCTGGTTCCTTACAGTCTGGCTCTGCTCTCTTCTCAGAAGGTCATCGTTAACTCTTCACATCCTCAACTACATGCTTATTGTAAAGACAAGCAATCTATTTTTGTTTTTTGGGGGGTTAATTAGGGTTTTTTAATTAATTAATTAATTAATTACTTTATTTATTTATTTATTTATTTATTTATTTATTTATTTATTTATTTATTTATAATGGAGGTACTGGGGATTGAACCCAGGACCTAGCGCATGCTAAGCACTTGCTCTACCACTGAGCTACACCCTCCCCCTAAGACAAGCAATTTAAAACAAGCATCTCAAACCCCACTGAGGACAAGTGGCCGGGATTGGAGCTTTGGCCTCCCCACAGAGGCACCCTCAGGCCTTCTGCCTTCCCCCAACCCTCTAACTCTGGCCTGCCTTGGCAGTTCTGAGCAATGCCTCTGCTAGGGCCTGCTCGACCTGGGAACCTGGGGAAATGGAGAGAAGCTCTGAGATCAACAGTGATGGCAGTGGGGAGGCTTCTTTTTCATCCCTCCATCCAGGAGGAAGGAGGGAAAAGTGCACATCTCCTCATCTCATCCTCTGTCTCAGATTCCCCTACCGTTTCTGCTAAATCCAGCTCCTCTTTCTCCCATCCTCGCATGCCTACATATGTCTCCCCTTCCTCTCCTCTGCATCTACTCTTCTTCTAAGCATCTTGCTGGCCCTGGCTCTCCCTTCAGGCATCTCTTGGGCCCCTGGGACTGCTCATAATCCTCAAGCAGGGCCTAGTATCCCTGACCCCAGCTGAGATCTACTGGCCTAGCCCTGCCCAGAGCCTGGGAAGATAAAAGTAGCAGCTCACTGGGGTGAAGCCACTCCGACGATGTGATGGTGTGGGCAAGAGGAGGACCTGGCGCCTAGAAGCAGCTGCCCAGAAGGGCCTGCAGGAGAGGGAGCTTTGCGGCTGCTTAGTATCCCCTGCTCCCACTGCCCAGCAGAGGCTCTGCTCACCTGCTCCGAGAAATTGCCCCAGCCACCAGGTCCCTGGACAAGGGGGGCGGAGAAGGAGCTCACCAGCCAGCTCTCCCACACTTCCCCTGCTCTCAATTCTGCCTAAAGCCTGTCCACCCTGCTTCTCTCTGCCCACCCCTCGCCACCCACCCCCAGGCCTGCCTGCCAGGTCCCAGCCTGAGGAACGGCTATTAATTATTAAAGCAAACAAAAGCATTTCCTAGCAGGGAGGCTAGCCTGCAGCTGCTTACAGGAAAGGCAGCCCCAGCCGCCTTCCTTCATAGGGCCCTGCTAGTGTTCTGGGACCAGCTCAATGGGGAGGGCTGACCTGGATCCTCCGAGTCTCCCAAGGCTGGGAGTCAGGAGAGGAGAGTTGCTTCTGTGCTGAGCACCCCAGCAAGAGGATGTGGGTCTGCAGGGGAGTCCAGAGAAGGTGGCCTAGAGCTGGAATATGGGTCTTGGATATAAAGTCCTATTGGCCCAGCTTAAGGCCAGTCACAGCAATGGCCAGGGGTCCTTGTGCAGAGCTCCCCACTAGGAAGAACCTGCCAGCCCTTGGCACTCGCCGTCCCTGTTACCACCAGTGTATGGGTATGCACTCTTTCTCCCTAGCCTTCTTTTGCTCAGAACTTTCCTTCCTGTCGGCAGAGCCTCCCTCACAGATCTTAGCAGGCTTGGGGCCTTCTCCATCTTCTGTCAGACTTTGGCATTATGAGGCTGGGAAGCAGCGGCTGTTCCAGGACCTGGTTCCTGGGGTCAGGTAGATCCTGGAAACCAGCAGTGTGGAAAGCGGAGCCCCACCAAAAGGGATCTGGGAAGCTTCTAAGTCCTGCTTCCTTCAGAGATACTCGTTGCCCACTACTGACTGCTCGAGCTTGTTGAGCCTGGTGCTGTGGATGCGAGAATGAACAAGCTCCCATGCTTGCCCTAAAGGAAGGGGTGGGCTGGCAGGGCGAGGAAGCCCGGGAAGGGCAGGGCACAGCTGACTGTGGCCTGTGACAAGCATCCGTGGACAGCACTAAGGACAGTTCCCCTGGGAAGGTGCTGGGGCGGGGAGGGGGCAGTCCTGGAGGCTGTTAAGATTTTATTCAGTGGGTGTGTGGGTGCTGGGGGCAGGGGAACCGTTTCAAGCGACACTGTTGGATGCCAAGTATCACACAGAGGCTGAGAGGAAGTCTGGGGTCAGACTGTGATGGGTCTTGAATGCTGAATGCCTGGGAGGAAGTAGGGGTCCCTGAAGTTTTTAATTGGGGAGAAGCATGATCAGAGAAAAGTCCTCTGGAAATATTGCTTTGGCCCCCGTCCAGGTTTTGAGGACATGGTGAGAGGCTGGGGCAGTGGGCTAGAAGGCCGAGGTGGTAAACTAGGGGAGGTTAACCTTCCAGCCAGGGTGGAAAGTCATGGAGGACAAGAGTGTGTCATGGTTAAGAGCTGGCCATGGGCACTGCAGAGGGAAGAGCCGGGAGCCTTGACAACCAGGAGGCTGTGGGGTGAAGGCCAGGAGCGCACCAAAGACAGCTGTCAGACCCCAGGCAGCCCTCCGGGGGGTGGGAGGGTTCTCCCAGGCAAGTGGAGTCAGGCAGTGTTAGAAGAGGGGGGCGGGGCAGGGAAAGGAATTTCTGTCCTTGCTGTTTTAGGATGGAAAGACCTGAGCAGGACTGATGTGGGGTGGGGGTAGTTGGCAGTGGGGTGGGGTCAAGAACCAACCAACGAGATGACAGCACTTCGGGAAAAATGAGGAGAAAGGAGTAGCTTGCTCCCCTAGGAAGGAGGTGCCCAGAGGCAATCAAATGTGTTGGGGCTCCCAACTTGTGTCTGAGACAGAGATGTCAAGCAGACCAGGCCTGAAGATATGCCTCTCTTCAAACTGGGGAGGCCTTCTGAGTCCCCGTGATGTGGCCCTGGGGACTCAGACTGGACACCTCATCCCACTCCAGACCTCTTTCTCAAGTGCAGAAAACACTGCTGACACCTGATCCTGGGGGAAGAGCCTTGTCCCCACACTTCCTGCCCCCTCACAGGCTATAAGGGCACTGCCTCCTTCCCACCACACCCCTCCCTCCATTCCCTCCTGTCAGACCTGCTGGCAGGGACAGAGGGGTGGGTCAGAGAGAAATAGGAATCTTAAACCCTGAGGCCCCATTGTAACTCTCCACGTACTCTTACCACACAGCCAGTAGCAGAGAAAAAAAGACAAAGAAATTGACCATCTCAAGTTAAATAAAAAACCAGAACCCACAGAAAAACAGGCAGGATACAGAATTGTATGTATAACACAGGAAAAAATATGTTAATGGGAAGAAAGATGGGAAGGAAATACACTAAAATATTGACAGTAGTTGTATTAGAGAAGTGGGGTTTTGTTTTCTGTTTTCCTTTTTATTTTCTGGAATATAGTTATATGATGAGTAAAGGTATGTAAATTAATCCAGAGGCAAGACCCTTTCTGTTCCTGAAGAGGTGAGGTCCAGAGGCCCTGGCGCTCACTCTCGAGTCATGAAAGCACTGGAGTTGCAGGAACACCATTCTGTTTGCACATGAAACAAGGTGTGTGTCTGTTAAGGGGTGAGGTGGTATCCCCTGAACAGGATTGGGGATATGAATGTGTGGCTGGTGTCCAGGCCTGTTCTGTCCAGGTAACTCCCCAGTAGAACCTCTTCAGACTGCGGGAGACCTCTGGGAAGCCCAGCTCCCAGGTGCCCCAGCTGTCTGCAGAGGCAGCACCTTCCTAGTTCCAGCCACTGAGAACTCCAGGTAGGATATCTAAACCTGAGCTCCCCTTGCTCACAACTGGGGATACAAAAAAGCCCGGATCCCAGGTGCTGTGGGAGGCAGGTCAACAAACTTTTATACTTCCTTTCTAAATCCAGGAATCCATCCCCCACCCAGGCCCCCTTCCCAGACTTCTGCAAAGGAGTCAGAGGGGATGAACGTGGGTTTTGGGTTTTCAGCGACCCCTGCCTTCCGCAAGACCCGCCAGAAAAACACCTGGAGGAGGGAGGGGACCTGAGCAGCTCTGCCCCATTCTCAGCCCCAGTCATTCCAGCCAAGCCAACTGCCCACCTCATTTCTTTCCCACTCTTCAGCCCCCAGCCGCTTCTCCAATTCTGCACATCCTCATCCTCCAACTCTGAGGGGCGTTGGAAAGCAGAAAGGGGGCTGGGTTTTGTGCCTTTCCTGGCAGAGATCAGTGGAATTGGATAAGGAGGGCCAGTTAGACTGCCTGAGAAGGAGGGGTCAGCAGTTCCTTGACGGCTGGCAGCTGTGAGACTGCGGGTAGCCGGGAGACCTCCTTCTCAGCCATGGACGGCTGGCCCGCAAGCGACAGTCAGAAATCAGAGCCAGGACAGCCGGGAGTGAAGGCAGAAGCCACGCCCCGGCCCGCCCCACAAGCAAAGGAGGAATCACAGGCGCTCAGGGCAGGGTGGGCGCGAGAGCTTTCCGGGACCGGCCAGAGTTAGGAATCCCTCCACCCTCTCACTCCTGCAGCTCAGCAAGCTGAGCAAAGGCGGCGCGGAGCCGTCCAACCCGAGCGAGCCAGGTCGCGTCCGATCGCTTACCTCTGCGCCGCGGTGCTGGCGTCCAGGATGCCCGCGCCCTGCATCCAGGAGCGCACCGAGCCCAGGCCGGTGGGCAGCAGTGGCTCCTCCTTCAGGTTCAGCCCGCCGCGGGGCAGAGCGTCCTGAGCAGGGAACATAAGGGCGCGCAGTCGGTGGGCGCCCCCACCGCTGGGGATCCGGTCCCGCCGAGGCTGCGGGCGTCTCAGCTCCTTCCGCCCGCTCGACGGCACCGGGCGCCTACAGGAGCGCAGCGCCAGTCCCGGTGGCTCAGTGCGCGCTAGCCTCCAGGGCGCTCCCTCGGAGAAAGCGGGTCCGCGAGCGCCGGCGCTGTCCCCTCCCCTCCCGGGGCGCGGGGCGGGGAGATGGAGGGATTCCCCCGCGGCCTGAGCGCCGGCGGGCGAACTGCGAGCGGGCGGGGAGGGCGG